AAGATCATTGAATATATAAAAAGTTATTATTGATTTGGAAATTTAAAATAATCATAAAATATCTTTTTTTATTTTCTCATTTTATTATAGACATAAATATCTATAAAGTTGTATTAAGTATATTTTTTAGAAAGAAAATTTTATTTATATGTTCTATGATAAAAGATTAGAAGAAGAATTAATTAGATTTAAAATCAATTATCAATCTCTTATTCTTTGGTAAATTTTTCATTATAATATACTATTAATTTTTAGTAAAATATTTATTATGTAATTATTAAATATTCACTATATATTGTACAGTTGTACGTGTAATTACATATTACAAAAGAACTGTATTTAATCAAATTATAGATGATTAAAATTTAACATTTGTTTCTATTTTTCAACTTCTTCTTTTGTAATAAATTGAATTACAAATTTAATTATATATTTTCTGCGCAATACATGTAATACACAAATTATGAGAAATAATAATTAATTCAGCAATAACAATCTAAGATTTTAAATACAAAAGATTCGACCAACAATAGTATCTAGTTCGTTTAATTAGACACTGGCATTTCATTCTAATAAATAAAATTCAGATAAACGATGTTGTATTATTAAATACTATTGTATAATACTAATTACACAAATGTACATAATTACATGCAACAATTATAATTAATTAACTCAATGGACAATAAAATTAAATTAAAAATGTATCACATTTGTTAATCTTCAATGTATTTTTCTACAAGTATTATAATATACACACAGAGATATACCATCTGTCATAAACAGAATATTAATAGTCATTTAATAACAATTTATTTATATACATATCCTTGATAGCATGAGACACAGTATTAATTCTCTAATTACATTTGAAATTACTTAACTTTATGTACCATTAATTCCATAACGTCATTAACCACTATAAAATAAAAGTAGATAGAAACGAAACGTTCCAGCGACATCGTTAGAATGAACGGAATAACTTTGTTGATTTTCTTCTCGTTGTTGACGTTGAATAACGCCGATATTCAACGAACATCGGTGGTTCAGACAAACTCAGGACCTGTTCAAGGCGCCACATTGACTACTGTGTGGAATGGCATCGAATATTCATCGTTCAAAGGCATCCCTTATGCCGCTCCACCAATTGGAAATCGTAGATTCAGGGTAAAAATTATAATTATAATCACAGTGGTGATAAAAAAATATGTGTATATTATTATTTACATATCGATTAATTAAATATATGTATATTCCAAATATATTATATTTTTCATTTAGTAATATAAATTTATTTTTTTATGATTATAAAAATTCCATATCGATGAAAATGAAACTTATAAAAATTCATTCAAAAATAAAGATATGTGCAAATATATAATAATAACATTTAATAAATTATTATCAATTATCTACATTATCTGCATTAAATATATAATTTTTGGTATATATTTTATAAAAAAATTTTCAAACAAATTAAATATCTATGCTACAGATGAGTAGCATCGTTTAATTCAATCTTTTCGTTTAATTTTTATTACAGCCTCCTGTTCCACCAGAATCATGGAACGAAACTCTGGACGCCATTGAAGAGGCCAATGAATGTCCTCAAGAAATATCGAATGTTTATAGTGGAAATGAAGATTGTTTGTATCTAAGTGTGTTTACTCCTCAGGTAACATTTTATAAAAACTTTCAATTAATTTTTTAATTAACAATAAAAATTTTCTCATTTTCTTCTCTGAAAATTGAGAAATAGCGAATGTAACGTATAAATGAAGTTGCAAATAAAATAAAATAAAATTGTGCATACATATAAAATCATAATACAATATGTTAATAATGGACAGGAACGATAACTGCAATGGAAAAATATTAAATATTAATATTTTTATTAAGTAAGTATTGTTGTATAAAATAATTCCTATATTAGAAAGAGTGATTCAAAAATATAATTATTTTTTGTTCCACGTTTCTTTGGAATTAAATTTTGTGATAAATAATACTTTATAATGGCGTATATGAATCACAACAAATTTTATCAATATACTTTATTTCGATGTACATAATTTTCTTAGCAATTTAAAAAAAATTCTTAATTATTCTTTTTATCTATTCAAAAATCGAAATGAAGAAAAGTCAATATAATATTTTTCAATATGTAATATCGGTTATTATAAATTTTGAAGTTCAAATTCAATAAAAAATTAACAATTAACAAAATCTTGGTGTAAAGTCTGTATTGACGTTCAATTTGAAAATTTATCGTTATTTAGCAATCTTTCATTTCCTATATACCACAGACAAAATTCGACGAGAAATTAACTCTGAAACCAGTTATGGTTTGGATTTATGGTGGCTCATTCCTTCGTGGATCCAATAACGCATCTGTCTACGGGCCTGACTTTTTCATGGAACAAGATGTAGTTTTGGTTACCTTCAATTATCGCCTCGGTGCTTTGGGTACACTGCGATCATTCTTTTAATCGTGATATTTCGTTCACCATCCAAATTAATCCTTTGCAATCCTTTTTAACAGGATTTTTATATCTGAAACACGAAAACGCAGCTGGCAATGCCGCAATGAGGGATCAGCTGATGGTTTTGGAATGGGTTCGTGACAATATCGCTGCATTTGGAGGCGATCCAAATCAAGTGACGCTTTTTGGACAAAGCGCTGGCAGCGCAAGCGTGAACTATCACGTTCTCTCTGAGAAATCTCGTGGTATGATATCGTTGTAATCAATAGAAAACGTTTGGTTATCTTTCCTTGTTTTCGATATCCTGCTCGAAGCAAATTTTCAATTCTTTTGTAACGTAGAGTCAAGAAAAATTATAATACTTATTAAATTTTGAAATATTTCGAATATATCGTTCAATTCGAGAAAATTTTTTTTACGTGGATTTGCATCTATTAATACATCGAAACAAATTCAAATCAGATTATAAAATGTATTAACAATAGTGTTAAAATAATTTCAATTAATCAAAGAATAAATAAATTCAAGAATAAGTAATTTATTAATAAATAAAAAATTTAAATTTAATAATAATGTTTTCATCAAACACTTTATAATGAACGAGATGAAAATTCTTTTTAATATAAAAAACAATGATATGATAAATATTCATAAAGATAAAAAGTAAAAAAGACTTAAGGATTTGATAGATGATCTCGCTTCGCCTTGAACATCTTCTATCTCTTTCCACATTTAATATTCCATAAATGCATAAAAATCTATAACCTCATCTTATCGTTTTAGTTCTTTTAGTTTGTGATTTTGGTCAACAGGTCTGTTCCATCATGCTATCGAGCAAAGCGGAACAGCTGCTTCGTATCTATACAAGACGCAAGAAGCAGCGTATCAAACTGCTAATAAATTAGCCAGCGAGCTTGGCTTTCAATCTAACAATCCAAACGAATTGTTAAAGTTCTTCCTTGAGGCGGACGCGAAGGATCTCGTGGCAACGACCAATCGTGCCTTCCCGTTTGGCAGCGACGTAGGAATTCACATAATATTTTTAATATTTATTAGAAATAAATAAATAATTAATTAAAATTCTAATATTTAATATCATCGACACGAGATTTTCACTTTATTTTTCAATTTTGTGCCACCAGTTCTCGGTACCCTTCGCGCCGATAAAGGAGAATCCCGATCTCGTTGATCCAAAGGACATGTTCCTGTCCGAATGTCCAATAACCTTAGCCGCGTCTCAAAAATTCAATAAGATGCCCGTGATGCTGGGCTTCACCCACGACGAACTGTTAGATTTCTCGGAGGGTACGAATATTTTTTTTTAAAAAACATAATTTTTGATTTATTATCAACAGATTGTAGAAAATCAATTATTTTTTTCTTTGAATAAATATTTAATCTTAATTCGCTTTGGTAATTATTCTTTAAGATTTATAATCTTTTTTTTACAGACTTGTATCAAATTATAAACGACACGGCGGACGCTTTGAAGGAGATATTTAATTTGAAGCTGGATCTCGTAGGACCTTACGAAGCAGTTAAGGAATTGTCAGTGGTAATGTTTTTATTATTTATTATGTTACGCATTTTTAAACTATATATCGATTAATTTTGAATCAAAGGAAATAATAGATATAATAATTTTGATTAATCCTGAAAATTTCATTATTACAGAAAAATTTCGAAGCAGTAAGATATTTCAAACGAAAATATTGAAAATCGAATGAATTTGAAAACTTGTTTATTTTTACCATCGATTGAATTTGCTGAATGATAAAATATATATATATATATTTATCAATTAATTATAATATAATTTACAAAATCTACTCCAAATTAATCTTTAAACAAATATTTATGTATCTTGTATCTATTAATTTTTCTTCTATGTACAAAATTTTCAATTTCTCTACAAAAAAAATTTCTATTTCATGAAAAAAAATATGATTGCTTATCTTTAAAAATATGGTTGATATCTTTAAAATATTTGTTAGGTATTATCGGACTTCATTATGAAGGGACCAATCGATTTTGCTCAGAGATTGCTCGTTCATGGTAACGACAATTATCCTGTTTATTATTATCAATTGTCATACGTGTCCAATTATGCGCTGCATACACAGGACGGTATACCTGAACCGGGTAGGTATTTAAAAAAAAAATAATAATAATGAAAATGAACATATATTAATAATTGATATTTAATAATTTAATTCAGGTATCGCTCACTTTGATGACATTGGATTACTTTTCAACGTGGAAAGCTTGAATGCTCCTACTAATCCTCAGCATCCTTTCAATCAGTTCCGACGAAAATTGGTCACTTTGTGGGCAAATTTTGCGAAATACGGGTATGCCATCATTTTTCATCATAGTTGTTCTAATTCTTTTTATATTTGAATCTTGAATTTCGAGGATAAGATAAGATCCTCTAGTTATGGAATTATCGAATGACAAATATTTAAGAAAAGTTGACACAAGGGTTAATATTTTTGTAATTAAAAATCATTTTTTATATATAATTATATTTTATATAATTAAAAAGATAAGAGATAATCGAATAATTGGATATTGATTCGTTATTTAATTAGTTTTAATTCTATGAATTATGTTACAAGTAACATAAATTTTGATTTATTATCAACAGATTGTAAAAATCAATTCAAATTGCAGAAACAATGCACTTGATATGCATTAACTTTTAGATACTTTCAAAAAGAAGTAAATAAAATTCATAAAAAAAAAAATAAACAAAATAAATAAAAATAAAAATTTTCAAATTGTAAAAGTTTGATTGTGTACAAGGATGTTAATATATTTCTGGAAAAACAAACATTGATAAATATAGATTCTATTATATGCAGTACTTACATATAGATTGGTACATAAAAATATATCAATATACATATTGAAATTTATTTATTAAGTTACAAGCAATGAATTTTGCTTAAATTAAACAAAGCTGGAACAAAGGAGTGGAACTTCAATTAACTAATAATTTAATAAATAAATTTTAATCAACCTTTCTATATACCAACTTTATATCTATTTTGATCTCTAGAATCAAAACCTTTCAAAATATTTTTCATGAATATATTAGTACTATGTATATACAAACATAACACTTCATTGATCTTTATCATATTTTTCATAAATCATCTTTTAATATATATATAAAAAAATTATCAAGAAGATATAATGCAGTTGTAATATACATGAATCACTATATTTTATATATTATATCATATCATAAACTAAGAAAGCATAGATATATTTTAATTAAATTTTTACATGTTATTATATTCCATTAATGTTCATAGGAATCCAACTCCTGATAACGCAAACCCATTAAACGACGTAATCTGGAAACAGTCTGGAAAAGCTGGACAATTATTGGACATGGGTGACAATTTCCAAATGATAAATCGTACACAGGCGATCAACGAAAGGGCGTTATTTACGGAGAAATACCTGTATTTCTCCATGCCTATAACGAGCGATTGTAACGATATTACTTATGCGAATTATTTCAGTCTTTTCTAAAATTTCTATCAAGATTTTACTTTCTGATCCATGTTCCTTATTATTGGAATGTAAGCATGTAATATATGTAAATATAAATATATCTACAAATTAAGGAAATTTGATAACAATATTATTCCTTTCTATCTACAATAACGAAAATATAAAGAAATTAAACTTCCTATCCTACGATAAAATAAATACTTAATAATTATTTAAATTTAAAAATAAATAATTTTCTATTTATATAACCTCGTCATTATGTACAATTAAAAATACTTATATCTAATTAGATTAAAGCATCTCCTTTTCTGCCTATTAATTCATCGAATTTTTGTAATCGACATTCTGGACGGACAGAAAATCTGTGTCAAGTGAAATTCGAAATATCGTTATACAATATAAATTACAAATGGCATAACGCGTAAAAATCAAATAAAATTCCGCATACCGTGCAAAATTACAATGCTGATTAAGTCGATCGATATTCAGTTCAAACGAAGACGCATCGTTTCAAAAAGATAAAAGACCAGTGAACGCACCGCCGTCTCTCCCGACTTGACGTAACTTTTAGAGAGATCAGAATGAACGATGCGAGTTGGTTTATCCTCGTGCTTCTAATCTCAACGTTCCAAGTGATCGTGAGTTCTCCTAGGACGCCCATCGTTTACACATCGAACGGACCTGTTCGAGGCTTGATATTGCGCACTGTGTGGCACTCGATGAAGTACTCCTCGTTCAAGGGAATCCCTTATGCCAAACCGCCCCTCGGTGACCTGAGATTCAAGGTGAAATTCAATGGAATATTCTATCCATTATTTTGGTTAAAACAATCCTGTTGAACGTTTCAAAATATATGTAATATATGTAAATATAAATGTATCTGCAAATTAATAAGTGTTCATTGATTTATGGAGAATAATGATTGATAATTAATTAAAGGGCTACATAAGAAATTTGATAACTCGATATTCCTTTGTATATCTATTTACATTAACGAAAATATAAAGAAATTGAAACTGAAAATTGGGAAATAGTTTAAAAGTTAAAGGACTCGATGGTAATTTAATTAAGGAGGGCAATATTTTCTTCGTTATTTCTATTTTGATTTTTTTTGTTGCTTTGACGGTTTGCAGCCTCCAGTTCCGATAGATCCTTGGAAAAAAGTGTTACACGCCTACGAAGAGGGCAGCGTATGCGCTCAATGGGACTATTTATCGCTTCTCTACATGGGAAGCGAGGATTGCTTGTTCTTGAACGTTTTTACTCGCGAGGTAAGTTAATCAAATAATAATTTGACAAATAATTCTCTGACAATCGTCAAAAATATTTCAATATGATGAGTCATTTTATTTTACATAGAAAAAGGAAAGGAATTTAAAATAGAATCTTTTTCTAATTAGGGAAAAAATAAAGTCAATATCTTCATTTCTGAATATTAAAAATTGGAGCATTTATATAAATTGTCTCGAATCCAATATTCGAAAATTTCGCGCGAATCAAATTATTTAAAGTGCATGTGAATATGGTAACAGGTGGAATTCAAGAAACGGATAAATTTGAGACCGGTCATGGTTTGGATACACGGTGGTGGTTATTTCTCAGGATACAGCAATTCGTCCTTGTACGGTCCTGATTTCTTTCTGGAGGAAGATGTCGTTTTAGTCAGTTTCAATTATCGACTTGGCGCCCTAGGTATATTTTTTTTTTATTTATTATTATTTCAGAAATCTTGATTAATTTCTTATCCTTCAAATATTCTTTAATTCTACTTTAATTCATCAGGATTCCTGGCATTGAAACATCCTAATGCAACTGGCAATGCTGGCTTGAAAGACCAACGGTTAGTCTTCCAATGGGTGCAAAATAACATAGCTGCGTTTGGAGGTGATCCAAATCAAGTAACAATCTTTGGGGAAAGTGCTGGTAGTAGTTCCATTGGTTTCCACATATTGTCAGAACGGTCCAAAGGTATAAACTGAAATTTTTTCTTTTTTTTTCTTTTTTTTAATTTCGTTATTGAAAAAGATTAGAGAAATCTATTATGTTCTTATATTATTACTCTTTTGACACGTTTAAGAAAATTATTATCACAAATCTAATTTTAATTTTTGTGAAAATATATCGATTATTATTATATTTAATATTGGAATACATTTTTGTATTCAGTTATAAAGAAATCTAATTATCTGTGATATTATCAATTATTATAGATCATTTCTGATCCAAACGATAAATTTCGTAATTATTGGTATGAACACATCTCTGGAAGAAATAAAAATGTCAGTTGAAAACTTCCAAAATATATCAATTCTCTGTGTAGCATAAGATAAATTAGGAAAGAAAGGTTATCTTTTGATAAACCAAAAATAAATCTATAAATCTATAAAATTCGATAGACAGATTGAGAGGATAATCATTCAATTCCTCTTTTATGCATAATGAATAAAAACTTAACACTTTGTGCAATTTTACAGATACTTTCTATATTTAAAAATAAATAAATATATAAATATATAATAATAAAAATTGATTTTAAAATTCTTTTCTTATAAAAATTTTCATTCAGAGAATTAAATAAGAAACATTTCACAAATCTTCTCATTAATTATATTTTCTTTTTCAGGATTGTTTCTTCGATCGATCAGCATGAGCGGCAGCCCATTGTGTCCTTGGGCGTATCACTCACCCGAAGAGATGATTCGGAATGCTCATCAACTTGCAACCGTTCTCGATTACGTCCCCAAGGATCACGACGATTTGGTGAATTATCTTCGCCAAGTACCTCTGATGGAACTCATACGCGCATCGACTAAAGTTGAAATGGTAATTAATTCCCCCGAATAAAATTAAATCTTCAAATGTGTCTTGTATGCTTTCCAATTTTCCGATTTTTCGTATTCTTCTAGAACCTGCTTCCATTTCGACCTACTATAGAAGATCCCGACATCGATCCTAGCAATAGCACGGTGATAACAGAATGTCCAATAACGAAATATCACAACGGGGATTTTTATCGTCACGATATAATGCTGGGTTACACTCACGACGAAGTTTTCTTCTTTTTCGGTCGTAAGTGTCCAAGATTTATTGATTAAACTTAATATAACGGCAAATAATTATTTCGATAAAGACGAAAAATTTATTTAAACAAAAATTTCCAGCGCCAATCGGGGTGGCAAACACGATCAATTGGGCGAAAAAATATCTACAAAACGCTGCTAAAGAAAATAGAGATATCGGTGAAGAGCCGAAAGCACTGCTCGCGCGGGTTGTAAACGATCTCGTTAAAGCTAGTTTCAAGCAGGTCAAGAAGGTAAACAATTTGTATCTCTTTGTTTACTCAAGTTAATAATTCTCTTCAGATTTTTGGATTGTTTTCTGGATTCACACAGATAGGGATGGATATATTTTTCAGCGGCCCTATCGATTTGACTCAAAGATTGCTAGCAAAGCACAATAAGGGCCATCCTATTTATTATTACAGGTTGTCGTATCAATCAAAATATGCTTTGCACAAATTCAAGGACAATCCATTGAACGGTATTGTTGAAGAAGGATTTCTCGACGATTTCTTTCTTTTTGTTTTTTTTATTTAAAAAAAAAACAAAAACTTCTTTCAGGAACTGCACATTTTGACGACGTTGGATATATATTCAATTCAAAATTACCTCGCACGCCATCCAATCCTAAGAACAGTTTCAATCGATTTAGGAAGAAGATGGTTGCTTTGTGGGCTAACTTTGCTAAATATGGGTAAATAAAAGAAAAGGACAAGGAAATGAAATATATAGAATGATATAATCTATTGATTTGTGAAAAGAATATTTAATAACACGAAAAAGAATTGGAGCAATTTAAATCAGATTTATTAGATTTTAAGAAGAAATATAAAATTGGAAAATCATATTATCATCCTTCTCTCTAATAAAATGATGTTCTTTTTATTTACTTTTTCTTTTTAGGAATCCTACTCCAAAAAATTTTTCTTTCGACGTCAAGTGGATAAAATCTGAGAGGGAAGGTTTTCAATTGGATATTAATACCATCTCCACGATGCATAAACGACTGATCGACAAAAAGACTGAATACGTGGAGAAATTGCTTTACAAGTTATTCCCATTGATCACTTCTTGCGTGAAAAAGCCTACGAATTTTACAGATCTATTCTAATGTCTAATTTTATATTTTGATACTTAATAAAATTGAGAGAGGGAGGGAAAAATAAGATGTTTCCTCATTTATTGTATATTATTTTAATTTTCCTGTATTTTATCATCAAAGTACTAAAATATTCTTCTGGATGTTGTTAATTAATTTTTGTTCATATATTCGCATTTAATTTGATTTTTGATCATATTTTCTTATTTTTCCATTATTACATTTATTTAACGTCCTTGAATATTTTTTATCGTGTACAAAGATCTATCGACAGATTTTGTTGATAAATTCCGTGAATCCTTATCTATATATATTATCTATAAATACAAGTGCAAACAAAACCCCAGAAACAATGTTTTATGACTAATAATATGCTTAATAACAATAAATGTTACCATTCAATATATATTACCATTCAATTGTAAATATTTATAAATCTCAATTATAAATGTTAATCACGATTTAATATAATTATTTTCGAGCATTTTGTACTTTATACAAAAGTTATAAAATAAACCAGATCGTTATATTATTTATTTATTTATTAATATAACGAAATAATAAGAACTATTCTTAACGATAAGATATACTAGAGAAATATTTAAACAGATAAGATAATATTATGTAACATATGAAACAATTAGCATTATCTTATTTGAAATTATATCATTAATACTTGCAATGAAAAAAAAGTGTGACTTAAATTACTTAAATAATTCAAATTCAAATAACATATTTCAAATTAAGAGATAAAATATAATCTTCCTTCCAATCTCTTATACATTACTATCACATAGTTTAATTTTGTCAAATCTTCTTGGCAAATTTTTCTTTGTCATTCATTAATATTAATAATTTTCCCAATATCTTTGAAAAAAAAACTTTTAGTTTTATAAAAATTGGTATTTTATATTTTCAATTTTTTCCTTTCTCTCTCTCTACAAAACTTTTGTAAATAATTATACATATATATACGTTTAGTATGAAAACAAAAAACCTCGAAGGAATTTTATAAATATCTTATCGGTAATTATTTAGCAAACAAGTACTTAGGTTCGTTCGATCTACGAAACGAAATATGTTTGTGAAAAACTAGTATCGCATCATTATACAATCACATACACATTGGCAATAAATTATGATAGTAAAACTCGTTTCGATCACGCCATTTCTTCCCTTGTGAAACAGACTTGATGTATTGAGTAACATTTTCACGTGGCTAACATTTTTCTTTGTATTCCAAAGAGAGGATATCGATTGAACGAAATAATTTTATATCATCATCGTTATTATTAAAATACAATTTACCTATATAAATAAGTAGTTATATATGAATTATTATTTTATTTTGAATAATTTTACTCGAATAATAATATTTATTTATTAATTGTATTAATTATAATTAATTAATTATATTTATTATAATCAAGTTTAAACCTGATATATTGTTTAAATTAAAATATCATGTCATCAAATTGATTTAGATATTATAGTAGAGAAATATGGATTGTATCATAGATAACTTTTTCAAGCAAATTAATTTCATACAATATAAGATATTAAAATCTGAGATTAAAGAATCCCACAGTGATATCAATGTTGATTAAAGTATATATAAAATACATCAATATCAATATAAATATTAGAATATATGAATATTATATGATCTTATATATTATTAATATTAACATTTTAGATATTATTACGTATTAATAAAGAAATAAAAAAATATTGTATATAAAAATTAATTTTTCAAATTAATTCATCGTTTTCTATTTACATTATACGATCGCATTACAATGCAAATATCTTTTTCATATTCTTCTTCCGATACGAATTTACTCAATTTGTCATTTTATGCTTTGTATAACTATTTGAAAAATTTTAAATTTCGCACAATTTGTTTGGAAACTTGTAAAATTCATTATCTGTTACAATATATTATTACAGATTTCAATCACAAAAATCAATACACAGAATCTCTCAAATATTCACTTAAAAATAAATTTCTAAACTGTTTCAGAGAAAAGAATCATCACAAATATTTTATACTCGTAAGAATGTCATAAGAATGTCATGTTCTTTCCTTTAACCAACCATTGTGAAATCAAGAAGAAAAAGATGAGATAAGAAAAGGTTCCATAAATCGTGTCGAGACTCGACGCGTCAACAGAGAACGTTTGGTTTCCTCGCCAAATTCTTCCTTTTGTTTAACGCCATGTCACCTCGGCTTTACTAACTGCGTGTCCTCGCCAACGAATCGTAACGAAATTAAACAGAAACGTGGTATTCGAGGAAACCAGTGCTCGAGCAGAAGTGAAATGTTGCTGATGCTTGCTCCCTCAAGAACGCGATTTTAGTTCAGTTAACGGCGACAGATCGATCGTACGGTGCTCCATCCTTCCTAACACGCGGCTGTAATATTTCATTTCGTTCTTAAATCAATTCTTTTAATCCTTTAATACTTGATGAGAAAAAAGAAAAATCGAAATCGTCGGTGAAATTGATTAAAATTATAATTTTATATATGCTTTTTTCAATTTTTATCGATAACTTTTGGGACTGGAGGAACGAAAGATTGATGAAAGAGGTTGACTCGTTTCGTTTTAAAGAGTTCAAGCTCATTTTCGTAATCGATAAGTGGAAAAATACGTGGATTAAGGAGAGAGAATAAGAAGCTTAAAGCGTCGGTAAGCATCCGTTTTATATCGTCTCGACATTGATAAGCGATGTCTCGTTTTGTTTGAAAGTTTCACCTCGTTTCGTTTCGGATCTTTACATCGTCATGCTTCGACACACTTTGGAACGCGGCGATCGACAATTCGTGATC